CAGCAAAATAATTATTTATTTTGTATAGGGGGGGCGTAGAAAGATGTATTTTAAAAGGAGGAAGAACCTTTTATATATATATTTTTAAACAACATAATAAAAATCTAAATTACTGTATAAAATCAAGAGAATTGTTTCTTATTATTCCTTGATTTTATTGCTGCCATCATTGTTTATTGGATTGATTAATATATCTTATACTGTGATGTTTGGAGATCATCTCTTGCAAACCAATTAAAATAAATCGTATCCTGAATCTTTTTTTTCTCATGGAAACATCTATCGTTGAGAGAAGCTGGGGTATAGTGCAGTATGTCCCACGAACCATAAAATTTGAAGATGGCAATGCCCGATTTACAACGATATACCCTTAAATCCTTTATTTGATCAAAAATGTTGATGATATGGTCGTTTTTCTAGATTTAACACTGTTAAATTTTAATAATTCTTGTAATGTTTTTCTTCTGCAGTAGAAATGCGAAAGTCATTTTTTTTAGAGAAACCACAGTTAAAATTAGTTTGTTTCATTATAAACATTGATACCAGACAATGCTTTAACAAAGGGTACCGTTGTGAATCGGGTATTGCCACTTGAAATTACGCTTACAGTCCCTTTCTTTTTTAAACACACTTTTCGTTTATAAGATAAGCCATTTCAATTTAAACTCTTCAAACATGCTTAATATTATATTGGACTTGGTCGCCTAAACAAACCACTTTTGCTGCCAATGATGCCATTTTCACCATATGTCCTGTTTTTGAGCCGACAGTTTTGTACAATTTAGTTCATCCCACTGTTTTATGTGTGTTTTTTTAATATTTTTTGTAGTTAAAGTATAATAGTCTACTTTTTGTAACATTAAAAAACAGATATATAGCCCATTATTCTTATTAAAAACAGATATATAGCCCATTATTCTTACTAAAAACAGATATATAGCCCATTATTCTTAATAAAAAGAAACGATTTATCTGTGGCAATGTCCCTATGTGTAATGCATTTGCTCTATTTAGCTGCCTAGAAGCCGGTCCGATACTTCAAGCCAGAGTTTTCAGTATTAGAAGAGTGTGGTTTTTAAAAAAGAACACCATTTTAATTTTTCTCTGATATATAAAGAGGCAAACTACAGTTTGGAAAATCCAGTGGATAAATATTCTTTTAAGAATGATATAAATATATATAAAGATGTACTATCTATAAGACTAAAATTATGGCTAACTATAAATTATACACAAAATTATACATTAAAGGTACTAATATTTATCATTTAAAGTTAAAGAATCCTATATGCGCAAGTTAGAATTGAAAATGGTTCGATAAGATCCCCGGTCTAGAATACAAACCTTATTTCAGTCCCAGCACAATTTTATTGGGAATGGGCTCAAAAGAATGGATTGTTGGAAATATTGGCAGAGGTGTATTCAGGGGAAGGCTATAGGGGATTCTCCTGGGTCAGTGAAATCAATGGTTTTCAAGAGTTTTGGACCCAAACAGGTGCTGAGCCCGTCTAGAAAGTAATTTTTTAAGCCACCGCTGGACAAAATTCTGAATACGCCTCTGAATATATCCTAGAAGATTAGATTGAGTGTGTCCAACTTTAAGGATAAACAATGGAGATGTTTTTCCCTTTTATTATTATAAAATATTCAAAACCTTCAAAGTATTGATTAGCTTAATCTATATATAAATTTGGCTTGTTTGTGTATGACATTGATAGCTTATAAGATCGTGCCTCTGTTTGGCATTGATAGTTTCTGAGACCATGTCCGTGTTGACATTGATATGCCTCCTAGACCAACGAGAGGGATTGAGTTGTACCTGTATTGATACAGGTCTGAGAGATTCTTGTGGAGTAGGGCATTTACTACACTAATAGTTTAACAAAGGCTTGAAAATCAACTTTTTAAGTAAAATGGGTTTGTGTGCAGTTGTTTTATAAGTTCATGAGCTATTAAAAATCATAATTTGAGTCTAACAATCTAGCATCCTATTTGATCCTATAGTCCATCATCCTATTCCTAGTCCATCATCCTCTTCCTATAGTCCATCATCCCATTCCTACTCCATCATCCTATTCCTAGTCCATCATACTATATCCTAATCCATCATCCTATTCCTAGTCTTTTATTCTATTCCTATAGTCCATCATTCTAATCTTAATCTATTATTCTATCCCTAGTTTTTTTATCCTATTCCAAGTCTACCATCCTATTACTAGTCCATCATCCTATTCATAGTCCATCATACTATTCCTAGTCCATCATACTATTCCCCAGTTTAATGGGCTTCATTGTAAAACCAACCTGAAGAGCTCGAGTTGTTCCTTGGTTAACCGCATCCTCTTTATCTCAAGCTTTTGCTTCTCTATCCTCATCCTTTAAAGGGATGGGTCAGGTTTTATTTATGTAAGGCTAGAATGATAAAGACATTTTTTGCGTTTTGCTTTCATCCAATATTTTATTGACAGGTATTTTGATATTTACACTAATATTTAGAAAAGTTAGGGATTGGGAATGCTCTTTTAAATTCGTACCGGCTCGGTGCTTTCCTCTTACTCTACTGGAATCTGTTCCACCCCATGATTTTTTAAATTTTCGAAAATTTAAAAACGATAGTTTTGAAATAATTTCGTTAAAAAAATGTCTAAAACAATCTTTTCAGTTTTCCGAATTAAAATGTAAAACGTTATTTTTCGTTTTCAAAACGGGAAAAATGATGTTGAGGAACTTTTTACTCTAGAGACTTATTTGACCATCGTAGCCCAGGAATTAAATTGATAATTATATAGTAGTGATAAGCATGATATACAAAAACACAGTTTAAAAGTTTTTATTGGAAACAGGGCAGTGTCTCATTCAGACGATTTTCCATAAGTTTTGACAATGGATCACTTTCAGATTAAGTTGGTCATTGTTCCCCCTCTCCCCCCGCTGTCCCTTAAATTTCTCTTGTTTCTTTTTTAAGTTTACGTGTCCCCTTAGTAGTCCACTGTATACCCCATTCAAGGACTGAAAATTATAAAGTGGCGCTCTGTTAAGTTCTGTAATAGATCTCTTAACTCATAAGAAGTCTCCTGAAGACAATAATAATTTAAGTCCTCCCTCATCTCACCTCTGCAGGATGCTTAGGGGAGAGAAGAGAACTCTTGGCCCCCCCCCCCCACTGTGTTCGCAACCGATATCATTGTTATCATGCCAAAAGAAATATACATTTCAAAGGAATTAAGTCCTTGTCACAAACTCCGGTTTTCAAGTTTTTGCTACTCAAGCTAAGAATTTAGTTAGATCAAAGAATCTAAGTTAAAAATAAAAAAGGTTGCAAACATATAGGGGATAGAAAATTTGAGTTGGTGGCAAAGACTAAATTCTGTTTTAACCTGTAAATAAAGGAAGATCTGAAATGATACAATAGTATGCTTTATCAATTTTCTCATATTCACGCTTCATCTAGTTTGAAGTTTATGGTTTTCTAACCCCTTCAAACATGCCAGCTTGGAATCGAATGTCCATTGTACTTTAAGAGAGCAGAATGATAATACGTTGAAATGGGGATGAAAACATGCATATAATATGATTATATGGAATGCATAAAACACCGTTTTCACCTTTTCTCTTTGGCCCAACTCCAATTCGGTTAAAATGTATAAAGTAAAAAGTTTAAATGATTTCATTCGGGAAATTGCTAAGGTTCAAAAATGCATAAATTTAATCTATTCCAGTAAAACTTTAGTTTAACTAAATAATAAAGCATACAATATGCAAAAAGAGGTTTTAGAAGTGCATTAAGTAACCATTGAATGTCACTGCTGCAAAAGATAGGTTCACTTTTTATAACAATCCCTTAAACCGATTCCATTAAAAAATTAATTGTTAAATAACCTGTCAGCATTACTGAGAACAACTCCATCCGGTTGAAGCATTTTTAATCTATGAAAATGAAACTTTATAATCACAGAGTGGAGAGTTTATAGAGTTGAAATAACAGTCTCCCATCCCACTGGCGCTCTTATAAAGAAAGATTTCATCACGAAAACATATATCATTGTTCACCAAAAAAATGTACTTTTCGAGTGAAAAATACAGGGTTATCTACAAAGCATGAAACTTTGACAGCGACATATAACTCTTCAAAAATAACAATTAAAAGGTTGAGTTTGGTTTTCTATCTTGAAATTAGTCTTTTAAGAAAGATTAAGTCTCATTTTTATTACGTGGTTAATCCTGAAAAACAAACTCAGTTAAGCCCGTTAGAGCATGGTGCATGTGATGGTTGCTTTGAACACTGAATAGGACATATTGTGCAGATGGTTTCCACGAAGTTTTTTGATTTTATTTTGTAAATATTTCAAGTGACATTTTTTGGGACATGAGAACGACTTTTCCCTAAGATTTTTTTCCATGTTTTTCTCCCAGAAACTTTTCCGTGACTTTACATAAAGACATTTTCATGCTGTTATACTATATATAATTCAACAATTATTCGTCAACTGATGTAGATATGCCGGATATCCATACGGTTATAAGAACATGGTTTCAAGCCGAATGTGAAAATAATTTCACATTTGCATACATATTTTTTATTCTGCTCTAAATTACGCATAAATATGCAAAATTCCGCGCAAAAGAGTCTGAAATTCGCGAGAAAATTGCTTCCGTTGGACACCCTTGTTGTAACTAAAAGAATAAAACTATATTTGAAGTGAATTCTTCTTCAAGTTTGGTGAAACTAAGCTCAAACAATGTAANTATTCCAGCCAGGGAATGCAAAAACATAGAATGTTTGAGAATGTATATGAATTAGATATCAATGTTTATAATTTTAAAAAGTTATTATCTTCAACAGGATTTGTTTTCTACAAAGTGACTAGCCTAAAAAAATGTGACATTATCCTACACATTTTTGATCAGATAAAAAGTTTTAAGGATAGTGTTGTTAGTCGGACATTGCTATCTTTGCATGGAGAGTCACATGAAATTATGCTTACAGTGACACAGTCCCTTTAATGATCAAGTAAAGATAAGAAAATATAACATTCCCCAAATCAAAAGCCCTTTAAATAATTCCAAAATAGTTTTTTTTTTGTATTTCAAGTCTCAAAAAATATATACAAGGTTAACCTTAAAAGTTTAAAACTTTATAGAAGTTTTAGTGACCATTAATGTATCATCCTTTTGTCGAATAACCCTGTAAATGATAATCCACACAGAAATAATTGGCAAAAAACATCTTTGTTCTTCGCCATGTGCAAATATTTCAAAACAATTTTATTTTTCTTAAATAAATGTTATAGAATATTTGTGTTTTTCCTGATTTCTTTATTTGTATATTTTCTGACCTTTTTAAAGGTCAACATTTTGAAATATTGAAATCTAGGCGGGTTATATCTTGGTTGATTGGATTTTAAAGTTTCAAATTTATTTTAATCTTTGTTAAATTAAAATCCCCTTTTAATTTAACCCCGAGTAGGGGGCAATGTTAAAATAAATTCGAAATATAAGGAAGACGATTTTTCCGACTCAAATGCCGACGTTAATTCTCAATGTTTGTGTACACAGGAAGCAAGCACACCACATGTGTCAAATCCCCGCTCACCTTAGATCCCCGCTTCAACCGGCAGTCAGTTACGAACACTCATATTCANACTGTCAAAAATGTCTCCAAAAGTACACCATCCTTCATTGTTCGATTTTTTCAAACGAAGACGACACCGTCTACAGCTTTAAATAACTAAAATGTGCCCCGGCACAGTCGGATTTCAAATGTGTTTCTGTTTTCGGTTTTCCAGAAGTTTTGGGACGTTCTTTCTCAATTTCTACTATTACATATACCTAGTGCTTGTTCTAATCAAATTTTGAGCTAACAATATCTTAAGATTTATATACAAGAATTATTCAATTAAACTATATGGCCAGCAGACATCAATTGAGAAAAAAGGATGATGCCGCCGGGCCGTAATAATAATATAAGTTGTTAATAATAATATTTCAGAGAGTGGTTCAAGTGCAACATGAGTAACTGTAGTTACCTAGTAACTGCTCAGCATGCTACCTCCGTATCTCACTGTGATACGGTAATATCTTAATCATTAGGCCTCCAGAGTTATTCGCGCACATCTTCGGTTTTAACTTATGACTAATGTTCTTTTATAGATTTTTGGGTTTGTCCTAGAGAACCAGTTCTGACCCCCCGGGGGCCCCCTCCCCCCTCCTATCATATTTGTATATATGACAACTAATTTTCAGCAAAATAATTATTTATTTTGTATAATTTTAGGGTTCAGTTAGGTTAAGACCATTTCTGGAACGTGCACTGCGGCTAGAACATACTAGGGGGCCGGGCGCTGCGACCACATGACCAAT